GCAAGGAGGGATAGTTGTGGCACTGCATGCTGCAATTTTCCCCAGGGCTTTAGGGAGGGCTTCCTCTGTGGGAATGAGAGAACTCTCAGGGGCCATGTTGCACAGGGCCTGCAAAGAGGGTGGAGATTGACCAGAGCCAGCCTAGAGTTCCTTAGGCCTCTCTGCAGCTTTAGTCATGTCCATTGGCATCTGGCTCCCACAGCCTTACCTGACCCCCTTGCAGTGCCCAGATCCCAAAAGCAGAAGGGGATCCCAGCACACCATGGCCATGGTTCTGATTTGTGCTCTGTTCTAGAGTGGGATCAGGACATGGCTTATCTGGCAGCCTTGGCACATGATGGTTTGGAATCCTTAGAGAATGCTGGAGGCAAGCCCTTAATGTCCCCTTCCAGACAAAATAATCAGTTTCAAGATCCTGAACTTTATCCATGACTTTGACAAGCTCAGCCTTCTGGAAATGCCACCATGCTGAATGTGGTATTCTTCCATCTACCTGTGTTTCTTCTTTTTCTCAAGGCATGAAGCAAAAGGCTGTGCACAAGGAGGCACCTCCTGGAGGAAGCAGTGTCTCACTGGCAACTCCAGATTCAGGAAGAGAGGCAATTGCAGGCAGAGGCCCAGACACAGGAGGTAATTGCTGTATAAAAGTCTCGGCGGGGCTGTGTGGCAGCAGCTCTCCCCCCAGGGCCGGCACTTGCATGACCCAGCAGCAGCCAAAGCTTGAGGCACCTTGGCTCCTAGGCCTCTGGAGCTCATTCCCAGCCCCTGGGAAACAGGACTCATGCACCAATGTCCATCCCACTGCAGCTGCTCCCAGAGCTGGCCCTGAGCATCCAGAGGCCCAAGGCACAGGAGCAGCTCCAAGTGGGAGCCCTGCTGTGAGCCCAGGGCCACAGCCAGCCCTGGCTCCCAACTGGGCAGGGCTGGCACTGGCTCCTGACAGGGCCTGGCTCTGTCCCCTTGGGCTGGGGGAGCTGTCACAGAGCAGGGAGGGTCAGTGGTGGCAGTGGCTGCTCAGGGATGGGTTTGACTCGTGTCCCTGGAAGGAGCCACTGCCCAAGCAGCTGCGCTGTCCCTGGGCTCTGCTCCCGGCCTTCTGGCTCTGTTGGGTGGCACAGCCTGTGCCAAGGGGCAGCAAGGTGCCTGCAGGCCCCAGCTCTGGAGGAAACAGAGAATGTCCAGGCCATACCCAGCATGCTGCCAGCTCAGCAGTGGAGCACAGCATGAGCTCTCACTGACCATTGCTCCCACAGATGCAGTCACCACAACACGTGTTCCTGATTCCCAGAAGGGCATCAGAATGAGTTTCTGTCAGGGAACACGCTGCTGGCTAGTGATAATGGCAGGCCTGCTTTGTTTGGTGCTTTTCTTCATTTTGTGCTGTTTTGGAATCTGGTATATCTGTCAGAGAAAACAGTGAGTATTTTGTTCATCTTTCCCTCAAACACCTTCTTTAGAAAGTCTATTGTAGACAGGAAACATTCTCAATGAGGCTGCTGTGGACTTGTGGCTAGTCAGTGCCTGCCCAAATAACTCTGCTGCCCAGAGTTCTGCTGCTGCCCAGCTCTTTCTTTGGCCTCTTCACTGCTGGGCCTTGTCCTGGGGAGCCCACTCGGGCTGCAGCCAGTGCTGGCTGCCACTGAGGCTGCCTGGCCAAGAGCAGCCCCAGGAGCAACAGGCAGAGGCAAAGCAAGTTAGGGAGGAAGAAGAGAGGGGAAGAGATTGGCCTTGAAAGGAAGACATACTCTGGGGCCTGCTCCTGCCAGGGACCCTGCCCAGAGCCATCCCCTGCTCACTGGGACCTTGAGGGGCAGCTCTCCAGCTGGGCCAAGCTGTGCCAGCAGCTGCAGCCGTGCTGGGGAGCCTTGGATTCTCTTGGCCCTGCAGTGCAGGAGAGTCCCTGTGTGTCAGTGGCAACTGGGGGCCTCAGACATCTCTTCTCTCAACAGGTGTGTCTCTGCAGCTTCACAAATCCTGCCAAAGACTTCAGCTGGAAAGAGCTGTATCGGTTATCGGCCATCCCCAAGCCAGTATCTAACATCCCTGCCCCCGCTTCATTACCAGCTCATTGTTGTGGAGGTGCAACCACCATGCAGAACAGGACCCTCTGCCCCTGCAGGTGCTGGCCCTGGTGTCTTGCCAGGCCTGAAGGTGGGCCCCTCCTGCCAGGGAAGGGCTTAAACAACACCTTTGGGCTTCAGCTCTGGTGTCTGGCTGGTACCACCCGCACTGACAAAGCTCCTTGTCTGGACACAGCCAGGTTGGGCAGACAGCAGTCGGGCACAGGGCTCCTGAGACCAGCAGCCACTATGTTTATTTTTCATTTTGAAGTGTTAGGGGTATTTTTTTTATAGAAAGAAATCCCAAAATATTTCTTTTCTTTTTCCACAATAGTTCTGTATTTTTCAAAGTAGTTTTAGGATTCTGGAAAAGTTTGACTATTTTTACACTTTTTGAATAAATGAAATTGCACTTAATTAGTAGTCTTTATTCTATGAAGAAATAAGCCCAAGACACCCAGCTTATTGGGAAGGCTCTTTTCCCACTGGAGATTTGGACCTATTCACAACCAAGT